TATCTACATCTCCACAAACAAGACACTGTCCCACCATCACTGTGGGCAGTGCCAACTCACCATTTGGAATGCGGTAACTAACAGTGGCAGGAAGCAAGCCCCTCAGATCAGAGAGCCTCTGGAGTAATTAATAACCTGAACCTCTGCTCTTCCAAAGCTCTTTTTCTAAAGCTATCTTCTACCTAAGGGATAGAGAGGATGTGGAGAGAGGAGAGGGCATTCAGAAGCTGGTCAGTCTGCCTTCACAAGTTGGCTTGAATAGCACACCAACGTTACCCTGCAGCACCCGCCCCCTCCACTAACCCATAACTCACAGGGCTACGCACTGTTCACAGTTCACAGTGCTGATGGGGCAATGATATACCAATAACAACCTGAGACAGAAGAAGCACCTGAAAAATATCGCATATCATTCCACAGCACCCAGTGCTCTTTCACTCTGAGCAGCTGTTTCATACACATACACACACTTACCCCTCAACCATTCCCTATTGTATAATTTTTATGCAAATTTCTTCAACTTCCCTCACTTCTGTGTTATCTCCACAGTTTGGTATGGGAGAGAGATCATCAGCCTTTCTGTTTTATTCACCACTGTATCCCCAGTGGGCAGAAGAGTCCTTAGCAGGTATCTGCAAATAACTGCTAGAATGAATGAAGGAATCAATCAATAAATCTTTTTCTTCTTTCATAATCTCATGTGATGAAAGCATGTCTCTCTTTTTCTAAAGCTATGTATCTCCATTATCCTAAATTCTAGGCTATATCCTTTTCTCATCTCTGCTAACATGAATTGATTCCTTTTCTCCCCACCTTTCTTTGTAGCTAGTCCTCAACCTACCAATCGAACAAGAGTCAGGGTCTCTACAGCATTCCATAATCAGCAGAGTCAGAAAAGACAGGTTCTAGTCTCAAAACTAATACCAAGCAGTCGCATAGGCCTTCAGCATGCCACTTACTCTGTCTGCACCTCAGATTCCTCACAGGGAGGCATTACAGCATTATGATCAAGAACATAAGTTTTGGAGTTTTAATTGATCAAGTTCTGAATCCCAGGTAATCAGGCAATAAGTCATGCAACCTCAATCTCTCTAAATTTCAGTATGCCCATGTATAAAATGTTAGAACAATTTTTTATTTCTTAGAAGTTTATTGTGAGGATTAACAGAGAAAACGAATGAAAGTATATGCAACCTACATAGTATATAAAAAGCATTCAACATTAGATATTATCATATATGCTTTTTAAATTATGGAAAGGCTACATGATCCAAATGCACTTTAGCTCTAAGAATGTATTATTAACTCTAAGTATGCTGAGGAAGTCAGAACTGTAGCTTAAAGAGGACAGAATACTGGGGCACTGGGTGGGATTACAAGCAGAAGGTGCATGTCAAGCAACAGCATCTAAGCTCCAGTACCTGAAAGTCTTGGAGCTAGGGCAGTTCTTAACTTTGTACTACCAATTCCCTGAACCACTTCCTGTAATCGTCACTAAGACATGGATGATAATGTCCACCTATAATGAACAGAATTCCAAAACTCATGTCCTGGGCAAGTAAGAAAAGAATGGTACTACTTTGAGGGGGTAAGTTCTCCATATTTTAATTTATTAATAAAATGAGCTCTGCTCTGCACATTGAGAACTCATCCAGAAAGTAAACTCAATGAGAGGTCCACAGTATGTCATCAAGGTTTAGGAACAAGAAAGCGGGCAAAAAACAGAAAAATTCCTTTAAATATTGTAACCAATTTTGAAAGTCCCTGGGACACTAGTGAGATTGGCCCCAAGTGCCAATTAAAAGTAATGTACTAATTAAACACTTTACATAATTTTCACCTATAAAAGCAAGACAACAATACTTATCTTGCCTAATGCATACCATTACTCTGAGGATCAAATAAAACAAAAGAGAACAAATAAAAACGCTTGCAAGGGCCAACCCGTGGCTGAGTGGTTGAATTCGAGAGCTGTGCTTCAGCAGCCTGGGATGTCTCTGGTTCGGATCTTGGGCATGGACCTGGCACCATTTGTCAAGCCATGCTGAGATGAGGTCCCACACAGCACAACCAGAAGGACCTACAACTAGAATATACAACTATGTACTGGGGGGCTTTGGTGAGAAGAAGGAAAAAAAAAAACAAAAAAAAGAAGATTGGCAACAGATATTAGCTCAGGTGCCAATCTTTAAAAAGAAAAAGTGCTTGTAAACAGTAAAGTGTTTAAAAGAATCCTTAACCCATTGATAGTTAATACTTCCCTCCAAGTTCAGATGAGGGCTACATAAACATCTATGCTAGCCCTATTAAAACATCTATTCTAACCTTTGAAGTTGGTACTATTATTGTCCTCATTTACAAATGAGGAAATGGAGGATTAAAGAAGTAAAATAACTCATCCAAAGTCATATAAATAAATGTAGACAGCTGTGTTTCAAGCCTAGGTCAGACCCCAAAGCCCATGCTCTTGGCCACTATGTCACTAAGTCCAGGCCACTTCTGTGAAGGTCAACAGACCAAAAGAGATGTTCATAAAATAGGAGCAACTCCAAAGATACTAGATATTGCGTGCTGTCCAACACAAGATGACCGCATTCCCTGAATCCAAACGGGAAGAAAATCACATCTTTTTCCATATCCTTTTTTTCCTTAAACAATTTTAAAATTTAAAAAAACTTCTTGACCCACGTTCTTTTTCATATTTGCTTAATTTAGTGATCTGAGAGTTAGATCAGAGTCTAGTACAGCTGCAGAGAGGAAGACAAGCTCAATTAAGAGCAAATTATAGAAACGTGAGACTCAGAGAGCTGGCTCAAACTGACTTTTATGAGCTCTAAATGAGAAAGTTGCTTTGGAAAAAAGTGACCCATGCCAAGTGTCCACCAGAATAATTTGAGGAAAAAAAAGTAAATGCTAATAAATAGGCATATTACACTCACAGAGTCATCTCAAATTCAAAAGGAAGTCAGCTTTTATACTATTATCTTTTAGGATGAGACAGTTATCTTTGAGCAGTTGTCCTAGTAACTTACAGCAGCAATCACTGAAATTCAGTTATTCCCACAATGGCCAAAAATAAATATAAGAACCATTCAAGAAATGGTTGACCACAAATACAGCTTTATTCTCTATGGTACAAGAAACCAATCACAAGCCCATCTGTGTGAGACCAAGCTAATAAGAACATTATTTGAGAAGGGTATAAAGAGAAGGACGGATTGTCAAGGGGAAAACATCATTTGCTGGACTGTGACACGCTTTTAAATATTAGCATTATCATTAACCAACTGCCCGGTTCTCTGGTTCGTACATCTGCCAGCTCCATCCAAAGCTATCACAGTAGCACAAACTTGGAAGTAGGCTCACCTCTAAAACACTGGCACCCTCTTCTGATCTTTTTGTAGTACTGCATGCATACCAGTTACTGAAGTGAAAAACTCTAATAAAGCCATAAATTAATAACTTTGCAGGTAACACTTTCCAGATAATTTTTTATTTGCAATTCCTTGAATAAACCTAAATTTAACTTAATAAAAATATGAAAGAGCAGACATTCTAAAAAAATTTATCAATGAAAAGAAAACCAACTATGTTCTCTTAACAGTTTATACATATATAAGCTGATTTTATTACAACTATAATGATGACAAAAACTAACGTGCCGAAGACCTTACGTGCGCTTTGCACTAGGTGTGAATAAACTAGTTTAATCCTAACAACAGCCTTATGAGGTAGGCACTCCTATTCTCTTCATCTTATAGATGTGTAAAGTGAGGCACAATAAAGTTAAGTAACATGCCCAGGATCATGTACCTGGTAGTAAGTGCTAAGCTGAAGTTCAAACTCAGTAACCATGACTCCAGAGCCACAGGCTTATCTATACCTGAAATATCCCTCTGAGGTAGAATGGAGCTGACATCATGATAAAATGAAACACGATCAAAATAGAAAAACTGTAAGTTGTAAGGAAAATTACAAATACATCATCCAAATTTCTCATTTCAACAAAGTCCTAAAGTGCACAAAAATAAAATATTACATGAAATAGTTTTGGTCATTTTCTCATTCCTCCTCAGTTGAAGATTCCAGTCTTCTGGATCTACGATGTCTTTATGCATTCTTTTTACTCCTCATTCCTTTTTCCATGAAACTATGCCCTTATTTATGCATGATCTGCTTCTTCAAAAGGAAAGAAAAAACTAATCTATACTGTATGCTTTACTTTTCTTCGATAAAGCAGAACTACTTACATATTCCCACCTAAATTCCCTACTTCACTGCAATCTTTAAAAAATATTTACATTAGGACAGTAAATCCAAAAAGCGTCATCAATTCCATCTCATTGTAAATATGATAGATTCTCATCTGTCTGAATTATTCACTGTATTCCTACCTGAAACAAAGGCTGACAGACTGGATAACCTAAGATTTTCAAAATACTAACTTTCTTTTCAAACAGGATGTGAAGATACATTGTCTAATGATCTGTAGTTCAAAACGAGATCTATCTAGAACATTTCTAGATTCCATAGTATGCTTACCATTCTACTACTACTAACCATTCTGCTACTACTAATGATAATAATAATATCAAAAATTAAAAACATTTAATAATCCAAACACAAGGTAACAAGCTCAATGCCATTCATGACTGGAAGATTTACGATGGCTGAGAACAAAAGTTTTATTTAGATTTCTTTTTTACAACTATCTTTTCATTTCATGTTAGTTTAAAGTATACTTAGAAGTACAGACTAAGCGAAAGTCCAAAGTACTAAAAACACATATAAACTGCACCAGATTTAACTTGTTTTGTCCAAGAACAAGAGAAACAAGATGGTTATATTTTAATACAATAACTGAATCACATTGCTAAAGAATTAATCATAACATTATTCTTATCTCCCAAACCTGAACAGAACAAACACAGCACAGGTAATAATACATATGAAAAGGTGTCAAGGAATCACCTCCCTGCAAGCCCCAGAATTCTTGTTACCTCAGTCTGTAGGATGGCAGCCCTTTGCTCCTTAGCGGTCAAGGACTCCTTCAGCACTTCAATGTGTTGCTTGCTGTCTGAAAACTGGTTCGTGAGTGTTTCTAGCTTTGTCTGTAGAGCTAGAAGTTCTGTGTCCTTTCTGGACAGCTCCTGCTTCACCTGGCCAATCTAGAAGAAAAGAAAAAGCTGTAAGGAAAAAAGAAATGAAACAACCATCGCTGATCTGGATCTGTGACAGATCTCAGTCATGAGATATGAAACTAAATGCAGCATTAACTTTACGAGCAGACATAATTCACGTTTTTGCATCACCTAATCTTGGACTACCACCGCCACCCCCACAAAACAAACAAAGCTTATTCAACTACTAGGGACATTTCCTAAATAAACTTTCATTTATTGTGTCTCCTAAACATTTTCTGAATCCTTTAGAAAAGGAATGGAGAGAGAAAAGTCCCAATTCAATTAGATGACTACGAGACAGCAGTAAGCATCTGAACACCACTGTACGGATAAAACGGCTTTCATTTTATTAAGTCAGTCCTCTTCAGAACATACAGCAGGATTAGTACAGACGTAATACAGAAAGAGAAAAAAGGAACCTCTCGGTATTGCTATCTAAATTTACATCCAAAAGCTGCTGCTGCTGTATTCTTTTTCCATTACATTTTTTTTCCTTCTCAAACAAAAGTTTACAAAAATCCTGATCTTAAAAAACCACTTTTGGTGTTACAAGGCATTATAAATACATACTTTTAAAAAATCCTATAATTTTGATGAGTTAGGGGTACTGACCTAAAAAAAGATTCCACCTACAAAGTTACATCACCCACAACATGTCACATCAACTAAACTGTTAAAAGTAACAAGACCCAAACAAAGAACTCATAAAATTTCATTCTGTAGGAATCTACATGTGTAATTTGAATCTGAATTACTCTGACAGAGTAATCTACAAATCAATAGGTACCATTCATTCTCCCATAAATTTCTCTCAACTTAACTTAGAAAACATTTTATTTCAAACATCTCCTTTACATCTCTACTGTGTTTCTAAGAACTTTTTAAATAGTCTTTTATTCTAAATGTAAGCCAAAATAACAGAGAAGTCAGACCTGCTTTCACATTATGTCTACTCCTTAGCAAGGGAGCTGTGCACTAAAAGACAGACTGATTATTGGAAGTATAAATTTGACAAGAAGCCAATAATTTTAGTATCACTGATGAAATGAAAAGCACTTTTTTTTAATTGAATCTATCTAAAGTATTTTAATTGTAATAATCTTTGGCATAAGAGACAAAGCTTTTGAGAACAATTTCCCGTGAAAAATTACAAAATAAATTTTACTTAATCAAAATTAGACTTTTGAGGAGCACTAAAAATAAATTTCTAATTTACTCTTCTGTTTCAGCAAGACAAGCATTTTTCTCATATGCATGAAATCTCTATTTACAGATATAGTTATTCATTCATTCAACAAATATTTACGTGTGCTTACTGTATGCAAAGTATTAGAGGATACTAAGAACACCAGTGGAAGATAACTGTAAACGGCAGCTATTTTCATCTGTAATATAGATATGAACCCAGGAATTACCACGTACTGTAATGGTGCAGCATCTCTTTCACGACATCCCCTTACCAACGAAAAACACACATTAGTATTATTCCACCCCTAACATACAGAATGCACTAAAAATGCATTTGTTGTATGAATGAATATTCGTTCAAAGTGTTACCACTTCCTCAGCTAAAGAACTATGGCTTAAAGATAACTCCAATTTCCAGCTACCTCTAATCATGTGATCAAAAATAAATACAAAATCTCAGTTTCCTCAACACCTGCATCATCTTCAAATAATGCTGTATTGATCATATAGATTAAGAGAAGAAAATATTGTAAATGGAAAGCAGAGTTTAAAAGCACAAATTTTCCTTAAAAGTTAGGAGCACAAAGCTTTGCAGGCAATCACACATGAGGATGAGTGTGTCTTTGAGTAATTACTTTACCTCTCTAAGCCTTGATTTCCTAATCAGCAATATGTAGAAAATAAACCAGTGCCACTGTACTATTTAGATATTAAATAAAATAATGTACGGAATGTGCTTAGCCTGTTGTTTGACACAAAAAGAAATGAATCATAGTAGCTGAGGAAAAAAAAGACGTTATAGATCAATTTCTCTGGACGATACATGGTTATAATAAAACAAATTAGAACCTTTCAGAAAAAATATTTCACTTTTATATGTATACTATAAAGTGGTCCATAAATAGCAAACACAACAAATTAGCACGAGTGTTTTTCTTTTTAATGTTGCAATCCAGTCTTATCCCACAATTATTTTCAGAAGCAGTTTTTTCTGACACTGTGTGACAAATGTGTGCACGGCCTAGTATAGGGGCAGTAGAGTGAAGAGCTTACCAGCACAGATTCTGGAACCAGATTGCTTGTGTAAAAATCAAACTCTGCCTCTTACTAGCTCTGTTTCCTAAGCACTACCCTGTTATCCCAACTTCCTCAGCTATAAATTGGGGTTGATAATATACCTACCTTAGTAGGTTATAAAATGTTTATAATATGTGCTCAAGTGTTAGCTATTTTATTATTTACCATTTTATTCTGAAATGGAATTTTAAGTTCTTCAGACAGAAAACTGAACTAGATTGAGACTTTAAATAAGTTTCATGCTAATTCTAATTTACTAGATAATTCTAAAGAAGCTAATCACTTTCTATAGATCTGTTTTAAAGAAAGTAACATTTTGTATGTAAGAAGAAAAAGAGACTACCAATCATACAGATCAATGCGTATCTAGTAACAGAAAAGGAGGGGAGGAAAAAAAGGCTCTGAAGTTCCATCCGTACAATGACAAAAGCAACAATAAAGAACCAGGTATAGGGCTTCCAGAACACATGAGGGCTCACTGCACACAAAGTCACATATGGGTCAAACTGGTGAACAAGAGTCGGTTAAAGAGCAGAGCAGGCTGGTTAGTGCTAGTATTGGGCAAAGCTGCCAACCACAGAGAATGAAAGTGTAAGCCACCCAGAAGCCACAGCTAGCAGGGTCCCACTGTGGGATCACTGCACACAAAGAGTAAATCTTACGGCAAAGACCTCAGCCTGAAGACCAGCCGCTCTCTTTTTCAGCTCCTCCCCTTGAGCCTCTTTCGAACTTAGTTCCTCCTTCAGTTGCTCTACCTGTCACGACATTGTTATTCTTTTTTACTTATGTGCCAACTTAGGTCGTCTTCTTATCTGCTTTGGAACCAGAGCAGTAACTGGAAATAACAATAACTTATACAATACAATCAAATCTTTTCCCCTAATTCCCTTTTCAAAGGAACCTAGATGGTTTCTCTATTTTCTTAGGATTTTTTAACTGGACTGGAATGTGCTAATCAGCAAATCGGAGCAGAGATTATACTGTAGTATATTTTGTTCTCAAGTTAGAGTAAAAAATTCAAACTAATAGAAAGTTGAATATGTGAATTTTTAAGTTCTAAAATTAACACAAAACTGGCAGTACTCATTGATAACGGATTCTTAAAATAGTAGAGGAATATTCTACGGATTTATATGCCAGGTATGGGTACCAAGGCAAGAAGCCAGAAACTAGAGAGGCAGTTAAAACTTTGTCATTCCTTTACAGTTTTCACTTCTGAGAAACTGAGGAACTACTGCAATTGGGATATGAGGGTTGGGGAGAATACTTATTTTCTAGCTAATATTTTATGATTACAATTATGATTTTTAATTAGACCAAAACTAACCTGATAAATTGATAACTGTAATAAACTGAATCCTCCAATTTGCCTACATAGTCTATAGAATCAAACTAAATGACTCTGGATCTAAGGAAGGAATATTGTGACCTCGTTTATAAATACAGACTGATACGTCTCATTGGTAACTATCTTACTGTACATACACCTGAAGTGCACATGGGAAACAATACACCTGATACAAATGGATCTTCTCCAAGGCACAGAGCAAAGGGCTTTCCTTTATGGAACCATATTTGAAGGGAAAACACGATTTTATTTAAGTCATTTCAGGAGAGAAAAAGGTGGGGAGGCTGGGTTCAGCCTCTCAGGATTTTGACTTTTAAAATACCTCACAAGAGGTAGAGAACTTGATGTCTCATATAGTGAGAAAAACTCACCTGGATGTAACCCTACTAAATCACCTCAGAAGTACTGATAGATACAAAATGTTAAACTGTGATATATACTTAGCCTCATACAGGTTATCTTCTCTTAAGTGAAAATTTGAAATAACTACACAACATTAGTAATTCTGACTTTAATTCTGGGAAAGTTCCATTTGAAAGAATTATGTTAGAAGTATTCTTCCCTGAAGTCTGATAAAACACTATCAAGTGCATCATCACTAAGGAAGTAGGACTATGCATCAATTCTTCAAACCCCATTTAAAAATTACAGCATCACACACCATTACCTTATTTTTCATAAATTTCGAATGGCTCCGATAGACCTCCATTTGCTTCATTTCTTCCTCCCTTTCTTCAGTACTCAAAGCCCCATTCGATTTCAGCATCTGAATTTCCTCCTCCAAGTCTCGGAGCCCACGCTCCATAGAGGAAATTTTGGAATCCTGAGGACAAAGGATGATTTCGACAATAAAGTATTACAAAAAATCAGAAGTTGAACAACCCGATCCTCACAGATGTTAAATTTAATAAAGATAAACAAATATCCAGAAAAATTGCTGTCTAGCAACTGATGCCTTGCTTCTAAAATATATCCTGTATGGCCATTTGGGTGGAAGAAAAAGGACGCATGTCTGTAATATGATTTTTCCTCTATCCCTTCTTCCAGTCTACACCCTTTCAATTAAAGTTGAGATAATTAAAAAAGTAGAAGCAATGGAAAACTCAAAGTTTCTTTGTACCCAGTCCACAAATTTCTAGGGAGAAATTTTGTAATGTTAAGAGTAAATTTTTCTAGCTATAATATTTTATCATTTTACTTGGTGACCCCTAAAAGGTTTATTTCTGCCCCCAAAGGTATGGGGAGAAAAATAAGAGGGCTTCAAAGATTTATACAATAATAAGTGTAACTATATTTACAATAATAAAGATTTTATAACATCCTATTGCACAAAAACAAAAAGATAATTATATTAACAGTTACAATTTATCATATTAGTAATCATACTTATTCTCTATACTTCCCTATACATTTAAAATATTTCATAATAATTTTAAAAAGAAAGGTCACTGTCCTTGTAAATCACCACCACAAATATCACCTCCCAGTAGAAAATCCTTCTATAGTCAATTTCTTGGTTTTGTTTTTTACAGTATCTAGTTTATCCTCAGACTGTTTTAGATGTCATCAATTACAGAAAAACTGCTTTAGATGTCATCAACTACAGAAAAACTTCTACAGAGAATGGATATTTTCATATCTATAGTTGCATATGCTTATTCACCTAAGAAATAAAGATCTCAAAGAGCATAAGTAAAGAGCTTTATTTTATCTGGAATGTTAGAGAAACCACTCCTTCAGGAAGTAATTTTGAGATTGACTTCCTTTTGCACTTTACCTCAAGGATTTCTTGATTGACTCCTTGCTATCATAATTTTTAGAGCACACAGAAAAAAGTTAAAGGATTTATCAAGAGACGACTACCACTAGTTATTTTTAGGTTCAGGGGAGAGGAAAGGGATGTACTCCTCTGTCTTGCATTGCATTACCTTTAAAAACATCACAACAAAAGTTTTCTTTTACAAATTTATTCAATATAACTTACATTTGGTTCAAAATTAAATGTATTGAATTAATACAATCAGACACACTCTAAACCTAAACCAAGATTTTGATTTACTTGTTTAAAATTAATGGGGCTCAGGCAATCTTCCAGCTCATAAAGAATAAACAAACTACTTCAACTGCACTATCTGATTCACTATTGTACTACCTAAAATTCACTTTTAAGATTACTATAAGTCTTCCTGGAAATATCAGGATGTAGTGCCTCAAGAGTGACTAAAACACTAGGCACATGCATGTGACTAACCGTGAATGAAAGAAGGTGACTAGGCACATGGATGTGACTAACCGTGAATGAAAGAAGGCTCTGACGTCAGCCTGGGTGGTAATCAAAGATGGCCAAAGGAGAGAGAGAGTGTATTTCTAGTAACACTGGTGCTCCACACAAAACATCCTCCAGCTAAGAACTCCACCTCTGCACCTCACATAGACAACCTCCACCTCTACAAAAGCCCCTGCAAGGTTCCTGCCAAGAAACCTTATCCATCTTCTCTCCTAACCCCAAGACATATAGATGTAACCCTTGATCAAATCATGCACCACAAAAAGCTTCTACCCAGAAAGGGACCATAACTGCAGCTCTGAAGGCCATGAGGCAAGCACCGACTACCCAACAAAAGAACTGCAAGGCTACTCTCTGAAATCAGGCAAGAAAATGAAAGCCTAATATGCTCAACTAGTTCTAGCACCAACTCAATCAGTACTCAGGCTGGGTTTATTTGAGGACAGTCCTTCCAAGGAGGTTTCTTATTCCTAGAGTATGTAATAACTATGTAAATAAATCCCTTTTCATCTTATTAGTCTGTACTTCTCCAGCCCTGGGTCTACCATCATTAATCAACCAATCCCACTGAACCTACTAAAATTCTCTGCTCCCTATTAAATTTCCAAAACCCTCTTTTCAAAAGTTGTCTCCCTACCCCAAGTAAAACCTGGCTTTCCCGAAGGATATAATTTCCCTGAACTCTCTCCAGTAAAGGTCACTAATCCCCCAGCACCACAAGGGAGCAGGGGAAAAGTGGGCATCCCCCCGATTCCTCAATACTATTCCCCTTTATTTAAAGCTCATGCTCCTTTTCATTTTACCCTCCTCACTGCTGCCATCTATGGACTTCCCAATCACTAGTGCCCATTTTAAGAAGTCTGCCACCTGGCTCACAAATGCCACTCTTGCCATCACCCCAGGATTTCAATGTCCAAATTCCCTGATATCCTTAATTCCAGTGACCTCTTCCTCTAGTCCATTTTAGCTATCCAGTTTACAGGACTACCGTCTGGATCCTATTACCACCCAGGACTCTCTTCCCAGGACGGTCACACCATCACTCTCATTATCTGCTCTTCTTGAACCTCATAGAGATCTCCACTTCTCTGACTTTTACATTTTCTCCCAAACTGTCAGTCCATTCTGAATTCTCTTCCTTCCTATCACACAAACTACTCTTTCACCATCACTCTCAATTCATTTGCATTCCAATAATTCTGTTATATCTACCCAGCAAAACTCTAACCCTAGAGCAGTACAGTAATTCTTCCCTGCTCCTCCACTGCTAAAGGAAAAAGAAAAAAAATTAGAGCAGGTAGGAGGAAGCAGAGGGGAAGAAGGGTGGAGAGGGAAAAGATGGAAGGAGAGAAGAAGGTGGGAGAAGGAAGGGAAAGAGGAGGAGAAGGAAAAGGAAGAAGGAAAGGAGGAGGAAGAGGAGGAGAGAGAAAAGAAAATTACATCACCTTGAAGATTGCTGTGCTCTTTTATTGTCTATCAGTCACCTTCCTTTCCCATTTCCCCCCAAAGACCACTCCAGATCTTCATAACTCTCTCAAGCTCATGCCACACTCTCAGCATCTTAACTATTTCAGTTGTAATTTCAGCATAATATCTACCTGACTCCACTGAGCCACCAGAATCTCAGTATCTCTTGCTTCTTAGCAGAATGGCTGAAGATTAACACAACTTAAAATAGACCCACTGCCAATTAATACCATTACACTTTCTAATTCTGTCAAAAAGCAAGTAAAATAATTTTGTGAACATAGGTACATTCCTGTGTTTTATTCTTGGGTTTCAACAGAGATTATGTACAAATAAACTCGTAGGAAATGGCAACATGCAACCAAACCTTTCTAAAGGCTCTTTACAAGATTATGTTCAAGACTACTAACTGTCTAACTAGAAAGAATCCAGAATCCACTAATTTGGAATTTGTTTGGTAAATTCTTTCCCCATTGAGAATAAAGACATGATATAAACAAAGTTTTAAGAGGAAATTATCCAAATTAAGAGACTAGCTATGAGAACATAAGAAGCATCTATTTACATAAAACTATTTATATAGAAAAACTAAATATTCTTGTCATATCAACAAATATTAAATGAAGGCCCACAATGCACAGTGTCAAACTTTTTAGGGGATATGAAGAAGTTAGAGGGGGAGAGAGGGCCTTATCTGTAAGAGTCTTTTAGCTTTTGTAAGAAAGAATATGTTGTTAATAAAAATAATAATAGCAGCAGCAGCTAATATTGACTGAAGGTTTACTATGCGCCAGGTTCTGTTCCAAGTGGCTGTATTTATTTTAACTAATTTCAACCTCAAAATAACCCACAGGATAGGTACTATTATTATCACCATTTTTTGATAAAGAAATTGAGGCATACAGAGGTTAGATAACTTGCTCTGTATCATATAGTTAAGTAAAGCCAGATTTCAAATCCAGGAAATTGAAGTCAGAAGGCAGAACCTTAACCACCCATCACCATACCATACAGCCTAAAGATTTCTAACTGTCCATTAACTGAAAGCAGAGGTTTTCAAAGTATGGTCCATGGAACTCTGGGTGTCCCTTCCTAAAAACCCTTTCAAGAAGTCTGCAGAGTCAACACTATTTTCATAATAATACTATGACTTTACTTGACTCCTCCACTGTAACATTTGCACTAAAGATATAAAAGCAACGGTGAGCAAAACTGCTAGTGCCTTAGGACAACACGCACTGGCACCAAACTGTACAAGCAGTCACTGTATTCTTCAATGTCAGGCACTTGCAGGAAAAAAAAGAAAAGTTTTAAAAGACTGCTTCACTTAAGAATGTCCTTGGTTACTTTATTACTTTTTATCAATCTCAACCCTTGAGTATGCATCTTTTCACTGTTCTGTGCAATGGAATGGAAAGGAGCTGGGCACTCCTGCTGCCTACTGAAGTATGACGGCTGCCCTAGGAATAGCGTTTGTGTGCTTCTCTGAGCTGCAACCTGAATTAGGTACTTTTTCATGGAACATGACCTTTACTTGAAAGAACAACTGACAGACAAACTGTGGTTACTGAGACTTGATATTTGGCAGTCATTTTCTTAAAAATGAATGAAATGAGCCTATCATTTTAAGAGAATAAAGAGGTTCTGAGATCAAAAGTTTTAAGAACAGCTGCTTTAAAGAAATTCTGGACAATCCTTTTTGGTCCAATTTGAGTTATGGTCTACAACTAAAAGGAAATGAAACTGAAGTTCTTTTGAGGTGTCATTTTCATTAAGTCTTACTACGTCTTCTCAATCTACAAAATGAATGAAATATTATTACATACCACTTCCTAAAACTCACACACGAAAGTGTGTGATCAATCACTTAAAAGTGTAAACTGACTCCTAAGAGTCTTTATTAGATTCCCACTCACCTTCATTTCAATAACAGTTTGCAGAGCTTTTGTTTTGGCAGAATCAGGGGCATTCTCAAATCTCCGATGCATCTCCTATATAAGAGAAGCAAAAAAGAGAGTAAATGTCCTCCTTTTCACTCTCTTCTTTTTTTTTTTTTAAAGGGAGGGGAGGGGAGGGAAGAGGGAGTAGATGTGTGCAAGATGACTACCTCAGCCCTGTAAACACCGCAACCCTTTCCTGTGGATCAGAGAACCTGCAGACTGCATTCAGGCTAAGGAGGCACAGGAGCATCCCCATCTCTGAACACCTAGTTATTTAAAATTAGTCACACAGACCCCAGCTGCTACAGCAGGTGAAACTGTTGGTGAGTCAATCTTCCACACGACTCCAAGACATATAATCAGAACTCCAAACAATCCAAAAAGGGGATTAGAAGGATTCCCTTTTTAAAAGGACAAATAAAAGGAGTTGCAATCAGTCTGTATTACCCAAAGTGACTGAAAGCATTTGTGTTGACAACATCCTTTCCATAGCATCCACCTCAAGAAACAACCACGTAGCTAGCTAGGAGCAAAATCTCTCTCCAGTGGGGCTACGAGCAGAAAGAAAAAGAAGGTAAGACGGTTGAACAAGTTTCCTAAGTAGTTTATGTTTAGAAAATGTCAGAAAACATAGCTATTTTTTTACTCCCAATTTTAGTGAGTTCATGATTAAGAAGGAAGGAGGCGATGGTAATAATATTACAATTAGGGTTTTCAAAGATCACGCTGCAGTTACCAGACCACCTCAGGCTATCTTCTTGTCAGACTTGCAAATGTCTCTGAGTTAGTCAGTACTTCTGAGGTACCTGGGACAGCCTCTAGTGACCCTAGAGAAGACACCAATGAATACTTCCATCTGAACAGTGCTTCGCCATAATAAAAGGAATGCATAATACTTTAATTATACCTTTCACCTAATTTACTCATTCTTGCCTGATCAGGAAGAATGGTTTGAGAGAAACAGAAAATAGAACTGCAAACTTCACTGAGTTATTTCTTCCTGAAAGAGCAGTCCTAATGAACTGACAAAAGTTCTAAATCATAAACGGTCAACAGTTTCAACACCAGTAATTTCTGAACATCCACACTCCCCATCTGGCTGCTGATACTAGGGTGCAAATCATTATTAATACACACCACCCTTTCTGCTACCTCGTTCCATAACTCCAGCCTTAAATATGCAACTAGGTATCCCACTTGTATGTTTAACAAACACCTCAAACTCTACATGCCCAAGACTAAACTCTTGATGGTGCCCCAAAACCTGCTCCACCCTCCCAGTTATTGAGGTCAAGATTCTGAGTCTTCTTTCTATAATGCCTTCCTTTCTCTTTCAAGCCACAGCCAATCAGGGAATTCAGTTAACTCTACCTTCAAAACATATCAAAAATCCAAGCACTTATTGCCATCTCCTTTGCTACCGCCTTGAATGAGCCACTAATGAAAATATTCTTTTAATCCAACAACCTCCTAATTAGTCTCTCCACTCTTTTTATCTTGCTCTTCTATAGTCTATTCTCAACAGAGCACTCAGAATGACCCTTTTAAACATAAATTTGATCCTCTGCTCAAAACCCTGTCATGGCTCCCCATCTGATTCAAACCAGAGCAAAAGTCACTTCCATAGCCTACAAGACCTCATCTCTTAGCACTCTCCTCCCTCGATCACTATGCTTCAGCCACAGAGGATTCCTTGTTCTTCCTCAAATATGCTAGGCATTCTCCAGTTCCTCAGGACCTTCACATCCGATGTTCTTGTTGCCTACGCTCTCTTTCCTCAGCTCGTGGGGGAGAAGACTTCATCTCCTTCAAGTCTGGGCCCTAATGTCTCTTCTGCATTATTAGGGTTATTGGTCGTGATAACCACATTGCAGTTATGCAAGAAAACATCCATATGTTTTAGGGACACATACTGAAGTCTGTAGAGGTAAATTACATTGTATCAGGAATTTGCTTTAAAATCTTCTGTGAAGAAAAAAAGACAAAAAATACACATGAAGTAAAATGTGGCAAAATTTTGCTAACTGCTCTGAGTGATACATGAAGATTCATCATACTATTCTGACTACTTTTGTGCAGGTTTGAAATTTTTCACAAAAAATTAATCTTTAATGTTCTCAGTGTAACCTACCCTATTTTAAAACTTAAAACTGACCAAAAAGAAGCCATGTGTCCTTTCCCATTTTTTTGTCCTTACTTTACTTCTCCTTTTTCCTACAGCACTCATCCTCTAACATATTATACTTGTTATGTGTGTCATTTATTTTCTATTTCCCTCTATAAGAATGCATACTCCACAAAGTCTTTTTTTCATTCGCTGCTGAATCCAAAGTGCCTAGAACTGTAGCTGCAATACTGGTAAGTGCTTAATAAAGAATGAATGCTGAATGAATGAAAAAAGAACGGCTACCAAACTTTCAAGAATTAACTAAAGAGGGCATCTTTTAACTCTTCCTACTCCTGTGCTGAATTATGTGCAGCTCCTCTTATTTCTCATACAGGATGCTACATAGCCCTCCTTTACCACTTACAACATTGTATTTGGAATAATTTTCGTCTCTAACATACCAGACTGTGAACTCTTTAAGGGCAAAACTGTCTTTTGTATTCCTCAGACACTGTCTGACATGTGAATATCATTAAAAATTATTTCTCGGAGCCAGCTCAGTTGCGTGGTAGTTAAGTTTGCACACTGTTTCGGCAGCCCAGGGTTCACAGGTTCAGATCCTTGACACAGGCATATGCATCACTCATCAGGCCATGTTGTGGTGGCGTCCCACATACAAAATAGAGGAAGACTGGCACAGATGTTAGCTCAGCAACAATCTTCCTAAAGCAAAAAGAGGAGGATTGGCTCAGGACCAATCTTCCTCACCAAAAAAAAATTATTTCTCCTCCACATGCATTCTTTCATCAGATGAAGAAATGAGTGTATAAATGAATAAATTATCAGCTAGTTTCCATCTTCACCTCTCTACTGGACAACTCTCTCTACACTATCAAATAAAGGACCTCCCTGTTTCTAAATCTAACAGCTGTTGTCAGTTCACATCCTGTCTGAACTCCATCTAGTAGCTGACTTTGTTGTTGTTGTTTGGTGGGGAAGATTGGCCCTGAGCTAACATCTGTTGCCAATCTTCCTCTTTTTGCTTGAGGAAGATTGTCACTGAGCTAACATCTGTGGCAATCTTCCTCTATTTTATGTGGGATGTCGCCACAGCATGGCTTGATGAGTGGTGCTAGGTTCGCGCCCGGGATCTGAACCTGTGAACCCCAGGCTGCTGAAGCAGAGCATGAAAACTTAACCACTAGGCCACCGGGCCAACCCCTGACCTTTTTTTTAACCATAAAGAGAGTTAAGGGAGGAACATCTTTCAATTTTTCAACTGGCTTCCATTAAAGAATTGTGCCAGGGCTGGCCTGGTGGTGCAGCAGTTAGGTACACACGTTCTGCTTCTCGGCAGCCCAGGGTTCGCCAGTTAGGATCCCAGGTGCAGACATGGCACTGCTTGGCAAAAGCCATGCTGTGGTAGGCATCCCACATATGGGGTGGAGAAGGATGGGCATGGATGTTGGCTCAGGGCCAGTCTTCCTCAGCAAAAGGAGGAGGATTGGCAGTAGTTGGCTCGGGGGTAGTCTTCCTCAAAAAAAAAAAAAAAAAAGGATTATCCTAGCTCTTAGTGCTTATTCTCTGCCCTTTCCCTTATCTTACCCACAGACAAACATTTTCTAAATTCCTGCTTTAGAACTCTTCTCAATTCTATAGCTCCAATCAAGGGCCTTCACTAGCCCACAGAGTAATTTAATTTGAATTAGGAAAAAGTAACCTTTCTGGGGTAGATGCAACCTCACCATGAAGCGTGGGTCAAGTTTTAGGCCCAACTTGCTGCACCAGCAGGAAACTCTTGTCTGGTGAACAACCTGCACACAACTATCCAAGGCAGCCCTTCTCCAATCCCACAGATTCAACTACTACCTTGCCATGGATAACCTGCAAAATCTATTTCTCTAGCCCTACAGTGGATCTCTATCACCCTTTCTTGTCATATCTGATCTCTCTTCTATGTCTGGGGACTCCGTATTTTAAGACAGAGTCTACCTCCCACAATAAAAGCTAAAAATGTCACACACTTGTTTTCCTATCCTTTCTTGCAGTTAAAGCCCAGACACATGACCTAAACACTTCGATCAGACACATACACCACTTACTTTGAATTAAAATCTCATAACATGAAGAAGCAGGGACGTGAACATTGAGAGATAATTCTGGAACTAAGTGGCAGAGGCAGCAGCTACCTCAAGCTTCCAGACTCGGGAATGGCAGAGGCTCTGGCGTGAGTGAGCAGTGTCAGTGCTGTCAGTAGAAGGAGCTGTTGCACCTGCACCAACAGCAGCACCTTTCACCAAATCAGTAAAGGAGCATGACTGACTGGGGCCACTGTTTTGGCTACATAACTTCTGAACCCAGTTCTCCAGCCCTCCAGAGATTCTGGGACCTAGCATTTACTCATTTACTTATGCCAGGAACTATGCTAAGTTTTAGAGATATAATGGTGAGAAATAACAAATTTGGTCCCTTTTATCATGGAATTTTTAGTCTACCAGGAAAAATGGATTTTAATCAAACAATCACCTAAACAATGCATCAGGGTCACCAATGACGTCCACGTTGCTAAAACCCATGATTCATTCTTAGTCCTCATCTTACTTGATCTATGAGCAGCATTTGACATAGTTGCTCAATCCCTCTTCTTTATTAAACTATCTTCCTTTGGCTTCCAAGACATGACACTTAAGTTTTTCCTCCTACCTAACTGGTTCCTTTTCTGCCCAACTCCCTAGGAGTGGCCAAGGCATCAGTCCTTTGTCGTCTTCTTTTCTCCACCTACACTCATTCCCTTAGTGTTCTCATCCAGTCTCATAACCTTCAATACCATCCATATAATGATAACTCCAAAATTTTACCTCTTGCTGAAATCCACACATTGCCTTCATAGCATGTCCCTGTGTATATCTGATATCACACTGTTAATATGTCCAAAGTTGAACTC